AACAACAACAAATGCATTACATAATGCCTGCTGTTGTTAAGTGCTGTTGAGTCAGTTCCAACCTATAGCTACCCTGTACTGGGTTTCCGTGAGGCAGCTGGTGAATTTGAACTGCCGACCTTTCAGTTCAAATCAACTTTGTGTCCAGTGCATTAACTCACAGCGCCACTCCACATAATGCTTGTGGTTGCTGTTGTTAAGTGGCATCGAGTTGGTTCTGACCCATAGCGACCCTGTATAGGGTTTCTGAGGCTGTAAGTCTTTATGGGAGCAGAAAGCCTCATCTTTCTCCCGCGGAACAGCTGGTAGTTTCGAACTGCTGACCTTGAGGTTCGCAGTAGCTTAGTGGTTACGAATCAGGCTGCGAACCTTAAGGTCAGCGGTTCGAAACTACCTGCCGCTCCGCGGGAGAAAGATGAAGCTTTCTACTCCCATAAGGATTTACACCCTCGGAAACCCTGTACAGGGTCGCTATGAGTCGGAACCGACTCGACGGCATTTAACAACAACAATAACAACAATGCTACGAGGGAAGTCCTGGTGTGGCACTGTGGATTAATGCGTCAGACAGCAAAGTCGTTTGAACTGCAAGGTCGGTGGTTCAAGCTCACCAGCTGCTCCTTGGAAACCCTATACAGGGTCGTTATGGGTCGGAATCAACTCAACGGCACTTCACAACATCAACAACACTACCAGAGCTCCTCAATGCTTGTTGTAGTTAGTTGTTAAGTACCGTGGAGTAGGTCCCGACTCATAGTGACCCTGCACAGGGTTTCCGAGGCTGTAAATCTTTACAAGAGCATAACGCCTCATCTTTCTCCCACTGAATCGCTGGTAGTTTCGAACTGCTGACCTTCATGTTGGCAGCCTGATGCGTAACCACTACGCTAAAAGCTTGGAATGGACTGTGCAAGGCACAACAATTTGTCTTTATTCACCTAGAGCCAACAGAGGAGGAAGGAGAGTCAGGAAAAGGAGGAGAAAATGGAATGTGTGACTAAATGCCTCCAGGAAAAACTGCCTCCTTTGCTATGAGACCAGAAGAAATGGCTGGTGTCCAGCTACCGTTACTAAAAGCTTTTATCACAAATCTGTAAAACAATTCTGATCAAAAGGGAGAAAATGCATACAGAATTTGAAATTCTCATGAAATCCAGATTATCTGGAGGCATGAAGAGTAGATGAGCCCTTGAAACTATTTTCCTGAGATCACCTTTAAACCTCAAACCAAAAACGCTCCCTGAAATCTTCTTAAAACTGAACAATAGTTGAACTAGTAAAGAATGTCTTCCCTAAGGGTCCTGCTCTTCTAAGATCTATCTCTAGGTGGTCAAAATGACAATAGTAACTCAAAAAATTGGATATGAAGCTTAGAGAGCAGTGTATTTATGTGAATGGGGGAGTAACTTTCAGAAAAGGAGGATGAGAATGTTTGCACAACTCACTAAATTGTATATAAAAGCTGTTGCATTTTGGTGTATGTTTTGCTGAGTACATTCTCAACCATAACAACAAAATAAATTGTATCTTTAGAAAAAAAAAAAAAAAAAAAACTGTCCAGAAGTTACATAAGGTTTTCCTCACCCCTGACTGGGAGAGATCTCTGATTTTCCTGTTTTAAAATTCTGACTTTGTGGCCTTTATCCAGCAAAATATACAGGTATACGTTGCTTAATGTTCATGATTGTTGTTGTTTGGTGTTAAGTGCCATCAAGTCCGTTCCAACCCATAGCAACCCTATATAGGGTTTCCAAGGAGCCACTGATGAGCTTGAACCGCCAACCCTGTTCAAACCCACCTTGCAGTCCAGGACATTAGCCCGCAACGCCACACCATGGCACCCCATTGTCGTTGTTGTTAAGTGCCGTAGAGTCGGTTCCGACTCATAGTGACCCTGTACAGGGTTTCCAAGGCTGTAAATCTTTATGGGAACAGAAAGTCTCATCTTTCTCCCACGGAACAGCTGGTAGTTTCGAACTGTTGACCTTGCGGTTCACAGCCCGATTCGTAACCACTACGCTACCAGAGCTCCTTGTAAAGCCTATTAAATCAAAATCTCCTAAGAATCTGCCAGACAAAGCCTGAGCACTGTATCCACTTGATAAAAGAGGCCAGCCTTGCTGGACGTGTGACTGGGTCAGGCAGACACTACACTTACAGCTGGATCAAGACTTTTATGCACATCTAAGGAGCTCTGGTAGCGTAGTGATAACAAATCGGGCTGTGAACTGCAAGGTGAGCAGTTCGAAACTACCAGCTGTTCATGGGAGAAAGATGAGGCTTCCTGCTCCTGTAAAGATTTACAGCCTCAGAAACCCTGTACAGGGTCACTATGAGTCGGAACTGACTCCACGGCACATAACAACAACAGGGAGAGGTGGGGAGGCAGACAAGGGAATGTAGAGAGGTAGTCACTGGAATAGGGTGTGCAGGTGCCAGGAATATAGCTGATGGTGGCGGTCCTTGCTCCCACCATGGCTGACCAGAGAGTCAGGTGTTGGGCAAACACCTTAGGCCTGGGCAGCACTGTCAGCACTGAAGGCCAGGGAAGGTGCAGGGCACGGACTAGAGTCAGAGGGAGGGGAAGGAGGAGCCCTGGGCTGGGGGACGGTTTGGGATACATCCTGGAGTCCTGTTGCCTCTTTACTCTGGGGCTTTGAGGTCTTTAAAACCATTAAGTTAAGTGCCATCGAGTCCGTTCCAACTCATAGCGACTCTGTACAGGGTTTCTGAGGAGCAGCTGGTGGGTTTGAACCATTGACCATGTGGTTCACAGTCCAGTGCTTATCTGGCAACATCATACCAGGAGTTCTTTAAAACCATTGTTGTTGATAAAGTGCCATCAAGTTGGTTCTGACTCACAGGGACCCTGTTTCTGGGGAACAGCTGGTGTATTTGAACCACTGAGTTTGTGGTTCAAACCAACCTTGAGGTCGAGTGCTTATCCTACAGCACCACACCATTAGGAGAAACGATAAATAAAATGAAAGCTGCTTTTTCTTTGGGTGTGTATGCAGTGGGATGCTGCTGAACACTCGTTAAGTGATGGATTCCTGTATTATAAAATCATTTCATCTCTTTTATTGAATTATAGTATACATGTTTTCCCACTCAGACTACTAAATTTAATTAATTAATAAGAAATAAAGCCTAAAATAATAAGTAGTCTTGTGTAAACATGTTGTTGATCCAGCTGTCCACTGCATTTCTGAGGTGAGTTTGAACAGCAGACTTTGCTTATCCTACAGTGCCACACCAGAATGTTTTGTTAACACTGTAAAATTAATTAGAGGTAGAAGCCATGGTATGGCACTGTAGGATAAACACTGGACTGGTAACCGCAAGGTCAATAGTTCAAACCCACCAGTCTCTCGGAAGCCATATACAGAGTCGCTATGAGTTGGAATTGACTCAGCAGGACGCAACAACAATAATTATAATCACAAATGTGAAAAGGAGTAAAAATACCTTAAAGGAGATTGATTCAATTCAAGACCTCTGACTGGTGTATCTTAGGCTTTGTAGAAAAGAGAAAAATAATTTACATTGTAGCGTTGCAGTATAAGCACTGGAGTGCTAACCACATAATCAGAGCTTCAAACCCCCCAGCTGCTCCTGGGAAATCCTATACAGGGTCACTATGAATTGGAACCAACACAATCACACTTAACAACAACAACAAAAGAAATTACGATTCATTAACACAACAGAAATTATGCAATCATAAAAATTAAACCAAGACCATGTGATAATATAGGGGAAATGTTATTGCTATCTTATTTTGAGGGGGGAAAAGCATAATACAAAGTTGAAAGGTCAAATTAAAATGAAAAATTATTTATTCATATGGACAAAAACTGAAAAAAAGAAAAGCAAAAATGAGATCACTTTCTTGATAGATTAGATTTATTGTTTTCTGCTTTAAAATACATCTTTAAAATTGTTATCATCATATTTGTACAACATAAGATAAATTAAGGTAGGAAACAGAATTCCCAAGATTCTCCCTCTCAGAAAAGGAATTGCTCCAAAAGATACAACATCATAGTTTTTATAGAAAAAATAAATATTTTCACTCTCAGATACAATGAACAAACAGGAACTGTTGATGAGAAAAGACTAGAAGACTTTCTAACTACAACCAAAGTTTTGCTTTCGGTTTGCCTAACCACACCCTATCACATTCTCTTATTTTGATTGTTCTAGTGACATTCCCCTCATAATACATTCCTGCTCTTGTACATATGTGTGTTCTTTAAAAGTTCCAGGTGCTTGGGAACAGAACCTATGTCTGTTTCCCTTGCAATGCATAGCACATGGCTAGGTGACCACTCAAGATCCTACACAGATGAATGCTAATTAAATATAGACTCTGGAGTTCTGTGAGTTAATGCACAAAGTTGATTTGATCCAGAAGGTCAGCAGTTCAAACTCACCAGCCTCTCCTCGGAAACTCTATACTGGGTCGCTATGGGTTGGAATCAACTCAACAGCACTTAACAACAACAACAGCAAGCTAGGCTCTGACTACATAGTGTATGTTTACCAATTAATCTAAGAAAACATGCTTCTGTGTGTGAGGTGCATCACTGAGGCATGCACAGGAAAGCAAGCGTACAATAGTTTACAGGTGTTGCAAGTGTCAGCAAGGTTCAAGTCACAACATGTATCATTATTCTGATAAAAAGCACAAACTGAAGTACAGCAAACCTCTTCTTGGTGTGATTTGATGTTACCTGGATGTCCTGCAGTTCATTCATATTCCTGGGAACCTCCCATATAAAGACAAAAGAAGCCTGACCTAATGTCCAGCTTCTGGGTGGTACCATCTCTGGGCTCCTTTTTCTATAAAGGGAGGCATTCCGGCGCTTCTTCTTCAGGAAAGTCCTCTTTATCCATTGGCTTCAGTAGATGGCAGACTTGGGTAGGAAGCATTATGTCTTTATCCTTACGGTAAAGAATACAAACTAAATAACAAATTGCTTGCAAGTTTCATAATCTTAAGATTTTCCTGTGTTCCCAAGTAGTGGCTGTAGAAATAGCCCTGCAGTTCCAAACACACATACAATTATAAATACCCAAAGAAATACTCTGTCCACCACCATGGCTACGTATTTCCAGTCATCTTCTACCTGAAATGCAAACAATCAAAGCAATATTTTTAGTCAAGACCAAAGGAAACATGCTGTGTTTCATTAATAAAATTCTTCTTTTGTCAAAGAAGATTCACCTAGACATTCTTAAAACAATTATTGGTATGGTTTTGTCTAACTTTTGTCCCCTACCCAGCACACATGAGAAATTTTGTTTTGTCTGAGGACAGAAGTATCTCAGGCAGCTGGGTATAGAGTATGCTGAAGACCTAAATAATTCATGAGTCCATCCATCACAAAGGCACTTTCCTCACTGTAAGGACTATCTTCAAGAACTAGCTGCTCAGATATTTCTATTCTTGTGATTTGCACAACTAGATATTCTGGTCCATTTGGCAAGTCTGGGGACTGGGTTTGAGGCAGGGGATGAGGGAAGGAGACAAAGGGTGTTCGAATATGGAGTATGATTAAGGATATCCTTATCAAGGATAGGCAACCCTCCAGACCTCAAAGTGAAGCTGTTTGTGGAGTTCCATGAATTTGTCAAGTCCATTCAGTTCTCACTTCCCAACCTTCTGCTAAGCTCTGTGGTTGTGCCTTGAACACCTTAGCTGATGGGGATTAAGTAACTCTCTTTTAGATTTTATGATGATGCCACATGAAGGTAACTTTTTCTGAGCTTTCTTGACCTTAATACATCCCCTCACCTGTGTGACAGTCATTCATGGTGGACATCAAGTCCCGCAATATCTCTTCACTAAAGATAGGGATAGTAGGAGCTGCGGTGTGAAGTCAACCTTAATACCTGGCACAAATTTCCAGACATCCTCGGCTAGTCATCCTTATGGTTTGAAACTATAATGTTGTTGTTGTTAAGTGCTGTTCAGTCAGTTCCAATTCATAGAGACCCTGTATAGGGTTTCCAAGGAGAGGCTGGTGGGTTTGAATTGCCAACTTCTTAGTTACCAGTCAAGTGCTTATTCTACAGCCCCACATCAGGACTCCTTGGAACTATAATAGGCATGATTCAAGTAGAGCTCTCTCTTTAGAGAGCAGGAACATGCCACTATAGTTAGACTTTGGGCAGCAGGAAGCGAAGATGATAGTGGAGTCATTAGGACTGGTGACATTCAGTTCAGTAACTCATATAAATTCACCCCATCCCATGGGCAGAGTGGCCAGACCCTGCCTCCTGCAGATCCACGCAGCTCCTCCCCTCTCCCATTGGCCAAGCAGAGAGCCTCAGCTGCACCCTGACTAGCAAGTGACATCACTGCGAGATGAGTGACACCAATGTTAATGATGCCACTTCTTTGGTGACTCTTCTCCCTGAGGCAACAGTCCACCCACACCGCCACTACTGCCACTGTGGATCCTGGCATCATTTTGGTGTCACCACTTCTGATATTGTCAGAGGGGTGTAGTGTACTCATCCGCAACACACTATAACACCACTAGAAAATGGTACTGAAAGTTGGTGCTAAAAATATGCCTGAGGCTCATTCAGTCAACACTCAAGTACCTCTCATTTAGAATGAGTGGGATTAGAGCTAGCAGACGCTCACTCCCACAGCCTTCACACTGCAAGCTGCTCTTGCATCATTTCTCCTTCCTCTCTTTTTGTTGTTGCTAAATGCCATCGAGTCAGTTCCACCCATAGCGATTTTGTACAGGGTTTTTGAGGAGCAGCTGCTAAGCTTGAACCGCCGATCTTACTGTTCAAACCCATTTTGCAGTCCAGTGCCTTAACCTACAGCCACATAATCCCACTCATTTTAGGGGCAGCTTTTCCCTTTGCACCTTTCTATGGACCATGAAACCTTCTTAGTTTCATTAACCAAGGTTGTCATGAATGTTTATTTTAACCAGATTCCACTTAAGTAAAAATTTCTGGAGATGCAAGTTTTCCTTTGTTCCACATCTCACTCCACCCTACCCCAAGGTATGACCCATCACTCCATGCATGATTTCATAATAAGAGAGCTGGGTCATTTAGTAACATTGCCTGACCACCTCTTATAAATAGAACTCACATTTTCAATCTGACCATGACTATGAATTGCCAGTAATCAACTAGACGGCATTTAACAGCAACAACAAACCTGTTAAGGGTGACAACTGGGCAGGCCAGAGGAAACATATATTTACCTCCTTTGTTTCATTTTGGTTCTTCATGTTTTCTGCAATGAATTGAACACTGTTAATCACGTCATCAACTTCAGGGGGGTGTTCCAAATTTTCGGTCATCCATTGCAAAGGCTGATGATTTAATCTTTTCTTGCTAGTGGTGGTAAGCTCCCTTGATTTGTTACAGTGGCAGTATTCTTTAAGACTGGACTCTCTGCCATTAGTAAACTTAACTTTGGGTAGCTGGCTGGCAATGCCTTTAGGGTTTTTATCAGAACATGTCTCCTTTGTCTTGTCCAGCGGTCTCCTCATCACCAAGATTTGGGGCAACAGCTGAAGGAAAACCATTTTTACCCACTTGGGCATGGTGTGTGTGGTTGGAGTACGATAATGTATATTCAACACAAAGACGGTCACTGCAATGGATAGGGTGACAAAGATCATGGTAAACAGTAGGTACTCTCCGACCAGTGGGATCACAAGAGAAGTAGATGGAATGGTTTCTGTGATGACCAGCAAAAACACAGTCAGAGAAAGCAGAACTGAAATGCAAAGTGTCACTTTTTCTCCACAGTCAGAAGGAAGATAAAAGACCAAAACAGTGAGAAATGAAATAAACAGACAGGGGATAATCAAGTTAATGGTATAAAACATTGGCAGTCTTCTAATATAAAAAGAATAGGTTATATCTGTGTATATCTCTTCACAACAGTTATACTTTATGTCATGCTTGTAGCCGGAAGCATCAACAATTTCCCATTCACTGTTTTCCCAAAAATCATTCATATCTACTTTAGAGCCAATAATTAGAAGATCAATTTCAGCCTTGTCATATGTCCAGGAACCAAATTTCAGGGAACAATTTTGATGATCAAAAGGAAAGAATGTGATATCCATAGGACAGGAACTCTTAAAAATAGCTGGTGGGGTCCAGGTTATCATGCCATCATATTGAACAAGAGCTTTTGTCTTGCCTTCCACTTGGAAGTCACCAACAGCACTGCAAAATAAATCAGACACCATTAACAACCCCTCCTTTGCTGGGTCAGCAGGCATCAAAGACAACTTTGGGAAGAGATAATGGCTGTCAGATGCCCATACTTATTATAAAGAACAATGTCAGGCTTCCAAATTTTATCAGCAGGAACACGGAGAGTCTCAATACCATCATAGTCCATTGGATTCCATCGCAATTTGTAATCATTCCAGACCTAGAGAAACAGAAGTCATTTTAAAAAAATTCTTAGTACACTTGCCCCCAATTTTAATTTTATGTTGAGTCAACATTTGTTTGGGGTTTGGTTTTTTAATTTATTTAACGTTTATTAATGTTAGGAGTCCTGGTGTGGCACTGTGAGCAAACTGCAAAGTTGATTTGAACCACAAGGTTCATGCTCACCAGCTGCTCCTTGGAAACCCAAAACAGGGTCACTATGGATTGGAATAACAATGTTATTTGTACTTGGTTAAAGCTGAGTGAGATTTGAAGAGTGCTTTGATTTATAAATTTGAGAGATTTAATCCGTGGAGAGTGATAAACTAGGTAGTTTAATTGCTAGGTAGTTTATCTACTTAATTAGATAATTAATCACCTGTTGATTAATTGTTGATCCATTAGTTGGCCAAGATTACACGTTCAACTCCTATGTTCCATAGAATATTCAAACTGAGTTGTTGTTGTTGTTAAGCATTGTCAAGTCAGTTCTAACTCATAGCGACCCTGTAAAGGGTTTCCAAGGAGTGGCTGGTGAGTTTGAACCTACCTTGTGGTCCAGTGCTTTATCCCACAGCACCACACCAGGATTAGCAACCT